CAAGGGCAAGGAGCCCCACATCTGTTCATTACTCTTCTGGAGACAAGTCCTGTTCTGCTCTTGTTAGTAAGGATCTTCTCTCCTAGCTTGTGTGCATTGCGGACAGCTCAGAAGAGCCGTGCAGGGTTCCAGGGCATTTTCCACTCTCTCCTGTTTCTATAGAGGTGACTTACAACCCACAGTCCTTCAACAGCCAGCATGCTCCTCACCGAGGCCCAGCTCCTCTGTCGATGGAGGCGCACACGGGGCCGATTAAAAAAAAAAAACAAAACCAAACAAGCTTTAAACAGAGAGACTGCATTCCCAGCCTCCTCTCTCAGGTCCACCCCTAACACATCCTTTACCAGCACGCAGTTTGTGTTTGTCCAAGAGAAGGAATGTTCCGGCAAGGGCAAAATCCCCCAAATCACTACCATCAAAACAACTTAAAGTTTAGAAAGGAAATCAACTAAAACAAAACAACACCCCCCCTTGCATTTATGAAAGAATGTGGGGAAGTGTAATCCCCCAGAGGTAGCATCAGGTTTCTTCATAATTGCATCACGGGCTGTTGGGGGGCAGGCCGAAGCTCAGGCGTGTGAGCTGGTCTAAGATTTCCCTTTGTTCACCGGCTTGCATTTAAGGCTTTATAAATGATGTGCCACAGCCTTACCACTTCAGGCTGAAGCTGCGGTGCCTGAGACTCTGAGCACTCCCAAAAGGCATCTAATCTGCATGTTTCAAGCACTCTGACACACCATGGCTCACCTCCCTTTATGTTAATTAAACAACAGGAGATGAGCGGTAAGAAATATAGTAGGGGTAAAGAAGGGATAGACAGCTAAAAATCTAAAAGAAAATTTTTTTTTAAAAAATATGTTTCATTCAGACTTTAAACACCAGAATCACATCTAGTATAAAATGAATATCTGGCGGTTACAGTGCTACCTTAACATTAGCTGATAATGATATCTTAAAGCCTTTGAGATTTAGGCTTTTACGAAAGGTGTGTATGCACTTACACACGAAGACAGGTAGTAGGTAGCCTGAAGTCCTAACCAAGCCCAAGACCCTGCCCAAAGAGCACCTAACAAACACTTGTTGACTGATGTTGGATAGCTGACCCAAGAGACCTTAAACAATGCGTGCTTTGTCAAAACACTAAAGCACGTTGTGGGTCCAAGACTTTTTTTGTCATACTGAGGGGGCGTAAGGGAAGGTCAGCTGAAAACTGCCCACCATCTCAGAGCTGAGGCCCAGCAAACAAAGCTGAGGCCTCACTGAACATACCTGTTTTGGCTCAGAGTTGCAGTGGAGGCTGGGCCTAGAGCTGACAGACCCAGCCCTTGGAGGCCCCCGCCTGGAGCAAACACTGACTCCTCACTGAGGTATTACTCTTGCTGCAAGGGACACTTTGTATACATTTTCACGAAGGAAAACAAAACAAAAAACAAAAACAAAAGAAAAACGGACTAACTAAATGATGGAGAAAGACAAAACAAACAAACAAAAACAGCAGCAAAACTGATCCACCAAGACCGGATAAGACCCACTTCATCCTCCAAAGAGGGAAAATACCAAATTCCCAGCTCCACAAAGCGGCATGTATCTCTCTCTCTAATTGCGTGGTTCTTTCCAGAAAGGAAGCTTGGGCTCCTGACTCTTTTATTATTAGTCTGACATTCTGCAGTCTCTTTCCTTCGTGCCTCACAGGGCTTCAGGCTGAGCCTCTGCAGCTTTTGTGAAAAGGAAGAAGTGTCCTGTTCTCTGTGGGGTCGTGACCTTGGAGTCCTCGTGAGCTCACCTGATGGACTTTTAACCTGCTGATCTGTCATGACTCAGGCTCCCTGCTTGCTTCCCTTTCTCTGACACACTTCACTCCAACTGCCCACCTGCTTCCTCTTTGCCAGATCTTTTGCCTGACAGGCCAACAGTAGCTGTTAACCTCCCAAGGGCCTCTCAGGGATAGCTCTCTGTGGAGGTGCTGAAGGCACCCAAACTGTTTTCTACAGCGACTCCCTCTCTTCCCCGTACCATCTCTTCATGAACTAAAACCCTTCCCCCACTACAATGCCCCCTCCTTGCTTCTGCACTGCTACTGTTTCGTTATTTTGGAAAACGTAAATGAGTCAGCCTGCCTTTCTTCCCACATTTGTTTTTCTTGCTGATAAAGAGAATGTAAGAAGAAAGGAAGAGATAGATGTGTGTCAGGCTGACCCAACTCCTTCTCCAGGAGGAGTCTGCTTGAGCTCAGTAGCTAAGTCCCCTTCTCCCCATTCCTGCTTGAAATCCCGAGTACCTGCTCTTGGATCTCTATGGCACTCCCAGAGCTTGGGACTGGCTGGGAGCCATGTGATATTGATTTGTTTTCACCATGGCAACAGCAAATTAAAACAACGAGCAGAGGGAAGGCAGGCTGTTAAGCAGTAAAGCTGCATGACCAGTATATTTCACAAGCATCTTTTCCTCCCTTCGGCCGGGTTTTCGCTCTCCTTCCCTCCACTCTCAAAGGTTTATTACAAGAGGCAAAGTACTGAGAACTTCGCCCACCACAGCTCTCTAAGCCCACCCGCCTACCGGCAGAGGCCGGCTTGCCCAGCTGCTTCTAGAACATTAAGGGAGCCGGATGGAGGAAACGCTAACAACCATGCCTTGACTTCCTTGGAAATCTCATTTGTTGGCTTAAGCTTCTTTAGAAAACTTAAAAGAAACTGATAGAGACTGGAGGGTTTTGTATTTTGTAGCCTTGTATCTAAACACCCCCAAAACATTGCCCACAGTGTTTCCACACAAAGGCCCCCTCCCTTTGTACTTCACAGTCCATTGTCCCAGGAGACAAACAACTTTTGTTATTGTTGTTTGTACAAAACAGGTCCCTAGAATTCTAGGATAGAAAGCATAGTAACTGTTTGCTGAAGAGAGAGAAACTGAGGTAGGCACTTGCTTGGGCCACACTAAGTAAGTGGTGTGGGAGGCTGGTAATAGGGACTCCTGGGACCTGCAGTGTTCTCTAACCCAAATTCTTTCTTTAAAAGGAACTTCAATAAACACTAACCTTTCTCTCATCTGTACAATCAAGGGTGTTACAAGAGTGCCACCTGTGACACAGGGTTAACAGCGGGCACTATTGTATTCTATTTCCTTTGAGCCATCTGCCTTAGGACACGCTACTGTATCTATGAAAGCAGCTGTCACCCACCCCACCATCCAATCAACCTTGAACTTGGTAGCAGAACCTGGGCCTTAGATAATGGTTTCAGCGGAGCTGGGAATGGGCCCCCCGTTGGGATAGCTACCCCCTGGGATGGGACCCCCTGGGATGGGACCCCCTGGGATGAGACCCCCTAGGATGGGCCACACAGGTAGCCTTACTGAGCCGCAAAGGAGTTAGGCCAGAAACAAAGTGAAATAAGGCTCCCCAAGGCTCACGGTGGCTTTCACTAGCCAAGCCAGAAGCCTGCAGAAAGCCTGGGCCCACAGGCAGGTAGGAGAAGTTGCTCTATTTGGCCTATAAGGGGGATGGATGGGCTGTGGGTTTAAATGGGAAGACATAACTCAAGTCCTGCCAACTGGGAGTTCGAATGTTCTGGTCTGGACATAGAGAAATATCCCTCTCCACAAGCTGAATAAAAGAACACCCAGCAGAAATAGTTGGGGGATGACGTCAGGAGTTCTGGGCTAGTGTCCTGCACTTCTCCTTGAAAGTAAAAACCGTGGGTCTAGAAGAATCTACGTGGCATTGCCCTTATTTAAATGAGCACTGCTGTCCCTCAGAACGGAGCAAGAGAGGAGGAAGAAACTTCCTCTTATATAGATGGTAAAAATGTCTCTTGTTTAATTTTTGTTCCTCGTTGCTGCCTAATATACATATGCCCTAATAGACATTTTCCTACTTAATCTTTGTCTTTTAAAGAGGCAGTGAGGCTTTTTGAAGAACGTTGGAACATTCACGGAGGTGGCAGTTAGGCAAGTAGGCAAGTTTTTTTTTTTCCTTCGCTTCAGTGCTTGCTAACTATTCTAAAAATGTTACACATTTATTGTAAACACATGCTTCCAAGGCCTAGCAAAAAAGCACGGTTTCCTCATGCCTGGCAGAAATTTAAAACGGAAAAGGGCAGAAAGAATTCTTTAACACAGAGAGAGCCTTTCCTTCTCCTGGGCCAAGTGTGTTAAAAATAAATCTGCTTCAACCTTTCTGCCGCTGCTTCTCGGCAAGAAAGTTGATCTGGCTGGGCATAGTGCGAGCCCAGCTTTAAAAGCTAGCCTGCTCTCATTAAATTATTCTGCTGGCTGTGTGTTCTCATTAAAAATGCATACAGATCAGATAATTGCAGTAAGCATTATTAACCCAGCTTTACTTTTGAATATAATGGTTCCACTTTTAAGCTGGAAACAAAGACAGAGGCTGCCAGGAAAAGCAATGTAAACATTGAACTACAGTGTCTAAGACTAGCCAGGAAGCTACCTCTTCTGCCGTGGTGCTTAAAATGTGCTTTTGAAACTCAATTAAAGCCATTGCCCTGGTGCACCAGGGTGGCCCCCGATTTCCAAGAAACAGACGTATTTTGGTCCCAAACGTCCAACCGATGATCATTCACCATGATTTTTTAAAAATATTCTTAATTTCAAGTATGTTTTCAAAGAACAGGAAACACGAAACTTTATTTTGTAGCCCAGTCTGGCAGTAAAAACCTCTATTATCTTAAGAAAATACTGGCCCGGATCTTTCAGATAATTAAAAAAAATAATAATAAACGAATCTGTCCTTTAAATAAATAAATAAAAAGCTCGGTTTTTATGCCTCACCCCAAACGGGCGGCGTAGATTCCAGCTTTGCCATTTCTTGTTCTCAAATCCGAATGTTACGTAAAACTCCAGGGTTTCCTACGAGTATTTCGTTCGAATTAGTGGAATCGGTCTCCCTGGCTTCCCTAAGCACACACATGGAATGCAGCATACTGCAGCAAACTCTTTAAACATTAAAAAAAAAAAAAATGGGGGGGGGAGGTTGTTTCTCTTACCTTGTTTAGCTCTGCTCGTCTTCCTCATGTACAGTAACCCCAAGAACATCTGGCAGGAGCGAGTGGCCGCGGCTTCTCCACCGCATCATGAGGAAGGGGGGTCCATGCAAATAGTTCTCAGTCCCTGTTTATTGTACTCTGCGAGCCGCCGGCCGTGGCTGGAAAATTTTACCTTCAGATGATGAAGCAAAGACAGTCTAAACTCTGTTGCTGTGAGCTGCAGCCCTTCCTTCCCACAGGCCCCGCCCAGGCGCGGCCGGCCAATCCGCGGCCAGCTCGTCAGCCCTCCTCGTCTGAAACTGGTCCTCATAGGATGACTGACACAGCAACACAGCGCTGGCAGGCTCTGAAAACAGTGCGTCCATACTGATGGAAGAGGGATCTCCCTCTCCGAGGAAAGCAGTCATAGCTCCGAGACAAAGTGGCACATAATTGGCAGAGCACAGAGAGGGGTAGCTCAGACAAATACGTTTCGAGACACCCAGCCCGCAGCTGGGAGTTGCATCATAAACACTCCGGGAATCACGAAACTCTTAAGATGGCCAAGAAATCTAATTGGATCCCAAACTAAAAGTCTTATGGCGTTTCAGAAAGCATACGGATATAGATGTACATATACACATGTGAGACAGTAATTCAGTGTTTGTCACGGAAAGTGATACCTTACGAAACATTTGCATGCAGTCTGCATGACCAAGGGAGGCTTTAACCAAGTTGGAGTACACACTGAAGACCAGACCATACTTGAAGCCCCAGCATACAGCTTTTCTGGAGAACTGTCATTGCAGTGGCTACTTACTGGAACCCATATATTTTCCATCTAAGTTTCCAGAGCTCTAGAGACTTCAATTAGGGGATGCCGAACGACAGAATTGATACCTCTACATTAAGCTTTGAGGCTCTTGGCTGGCACCCACTGGGGGATTAACTGTATCTTAACCTTCTTAGGTGCCATTTGTTAAATGCTCATACGTTGGCCATCCTGTCTTTAGTGCCGCAATGACTGCAGGAGGGCGTTTACTGCTGAATACACATGGCGCTGACCTAAGGGACATCCTACATTTTCAATCTACAAAGATTGACCCACAGATGCCAGAGGTTCCCTCAAGATAAAGGAAGGAAAAAAGAACGGGAAGGGTTATTTTTTTTTCTCCCCAGTCAACAGCATTTCTGCATGCTTTGAAAACAAAAACAAAAACATATGGCATTTAGGAAACACAATAAGCACACATTTTCCTTCCACAAAACACAACATTTTGAATCTTAAAAATTAAGTATGTTGGTCCCGTGACTAACTCCAGGCAAGAACAAAGATCCTATTCATCTGAAAGATTGAGCCTAACTCTCATTTTTTTTTTATGAGCAACTGTTTAATGAATGCATCTGGAATGGACCAACGGGGCAGAATGTAATGACTTTGGTGTTTTTAAATTTTGCGATTTGCGTTCTTAAAACACAGCATTTCTTGAGACTTGTGGACTAATTTTCTTCAATAGAATATCTTGTTTTTAAACCTTAATGCTTATTTTCATTTCTAGTCAATATTATCATTTGTAGTCTGTTGTTTTGTTTTTCTGAAAAGTTAAATTAGCTACATTCAAACAAGTGGAAATCCTTTTAAAATATCAGTACACGTACTTGAGTGATCTCAAACTTACAATCATCTTCTTCCCCAGCTCCTCCTGCTTTTGACACGAAATCCCCGTTTTTTTACAATCTCATTACTTAAACTTTAGTTCTTGTCAAGCCCCATTCTCACCCAAAGACCTTAAGCCTCCTAGATTTTTCTCCTCCAAGCTAGGCCAGAGCCCTGACCTATTCCCTGTATGACACAAAAGCTAATTGATGGCCTTTGGGAGTCAAGGCTCTTCGGCTCTGGTCTTCCCTGTTGTCAGACAGGTTTTTCTGGAGTCATGTGAAGTCACCTTCCTTTTACACTCAAACCTGTCTCTCCATAAAATCCAAATTACAGACGTTCAAGGTCCTGCTAAATGTGGCCTCTACCTTTGTAGTCCACTTTCTGTCTGCCCTTTTCCTAAATGAAGCTCCCTGCTCTCTACTCTGTGTTTACTTCCTCCTGATAGACCTCAGATCACCTGCCATTTCTTCAGCTATGCTGGCCTCACCCACATCAGCTTCTCTGATGTTCAAAAGGCTTCTGTACTGGTCGTTGTACCAGACTATTTTAAGCCCCTAACAATGCAGCCTTGTGTAGATAGCTTGCCTGAGTTGATCTTGCCATTTTAGAAGGCTAGGTCTGTGTCTACATTAATTAAGAGAATGTGCATGAAGCATCTCTACAAAGGCTGGCGTGACAAGCGCACTAGAGGATATCTAACGTCAGAGCAATTTCTGTGTTGAACAAGAGGCCACACGCTAACATGCTGGTTATTTGGTATCACAAGAAATGACGTCATACATACTCATTTGTAAAAGCCAAACACCTGACATTTTTTCTCCACTTCCCTCCCCAACCATAACTTGAAATCTATTATCAAAGATACACCTGAATATTTAGAACATTTTCCTTTGTTTCTTCTCTGTCAATGTCCCTCTGGACATCCTCTGCCTTAACTCTTGAAATAGTAGCTGCTCCCCTGAGGGTTGTGTCTTGTCTTTTTCTTTTCCTTCTACTGCTTTCATCTTGTTTCCTGTTTCCTCCCAGTCTTCTATTTCTTTCCCCCCCGTCTCTCTCTCTCTCTCTCTCCCCCTCCCACACCCTCTTACTGAATCTATGATATCCTACACATGTAGAACCTTGCATATAGTGTGGGAATTCTCCACCACTGAGCTATGTGTAGCCCAGTCTTCTGTTGCCTTATTAAACATTTTTGACAAATGATGTTACTAAGTTTCCAGGCTGTGGGCGCTACACTCTGTGGCCCAATCAGGCCTTCAGTCTGTGTTCCTCCACCCTCAACCGCTAAGTTAGCTGGGATTCCAGGTCTGTGTCCTCAGTCCTGGCTGTGACTAGGTCCTTGACCCCCTTCAGGACTTTCGAAATACTTCTTACAGAATAATAACATTTAAAAAGAAATCTTATTTTTCACATTTCTTAACTTAAAACTTTATTAGGGGCTAAAGTGTTCACACTCCCCACCCTAACTTTAGATGCTGAGGAGCTAGCCTTGCAGGATGATATTCAGAGATGGGCACTTGGGTAGTTAGGTTCAGATGACGTCACAGGGAAGGCTTCCCGAATATATTTCTGGTTTTATAAGAAGATACCAGAGAAAGGGCTTTTTCTTCCCTTGTAACTTGGGAGGTCACAGTGAGAAGATGTTCCTCCAGGAGAGTCCTCACCAGATACAGACCATGCTTGGACCGCCCCCTCAGAGCTCCATTGTTTAGTTATGAGAGTACAGATCTTTATATATATATATGTATATATATATATATATATATATAACCATGTGATTTTATGGGATTTTGCTATGGCAGCAGTCCTAAGTTCAGATCCCCAGAGCCTACATACAAGCCAGCTGTGGAACTGTACATCTACAAACCTAGACTAGATGGTAAGAAAGCACAGGGGAATCTTCCAAACCTAGTGGGTCAGCTAACCAGGTCTGTATACAGAGCAGTAAAGAGCAAGAAACCCTGTCTCCAACAACGGCAGAAGACTGACACGTGACATCTTCAGCTCCCGACATGCTTATTGCCACATTCACATACTATACTCACGCGCTTCCACAAATTCATGCCTGCATCATACACACACACTATATATGTACACACACACACACACACACCATACGTACATATACACATGTATACTACACACATACACACATATATACCCACCTCTCTGTCACCCTCACCATCACCACCACCACCACCACACACATACCAACCCTTCCACACACACATACCACACACACACTATACATACATATATATCCCTTCTCTGTCTCTGACTCTCTTTCTCACACATACCCCACATAATATAAACACATATGCGTATCTTTAAGTTAAATACATACATATATATATATTTGAATTGCTCTTAAGAAAAATGTATAAGTCTTCCCATGCCTTCAAGGACTCCATGGAGACTCTGCCTTTCCAGTCTAATCAAAGGCCATCTTTGCAGGGGACCATTGCTTGACCCACAGGCTGAACTTAGGTCCACCTGTTGTTTTCTCTCCCAGCGCGAGAACTAGAGAGCCATGCCTCTCAAAATTCTATGGTGCACGCACATCCTCAAGGGATCTTGTTAAAATGCAGATCCAGTCTCAGGAGTTCCTAGGTAGATACTGAGACTCTCTTCTTCTAACGAGCTCCCAGGTGAGCAGGCTGCTGCCTGTCCACGGCTTCTCTTCAAACAGCAAGATTTTACGGACGCTTCTCGCTCTGTCGCTCTTACTATGGAGTGTGGTTGTACATTAATTTGGTTAATTATTTATTTCAGGTTTACCTTCCCTGTCAGCTTGTGAGCACCAGAAGGGAGCAAGTTCTCTCATGCATCTAATCTTTTTGTGCCTGGCACATGGGAGAAGGCCATCAACAAGGATGCGTGTTAACGGGACAAGCTGACTACTGCAACTACTGTGGAACCCAGATGGACTTCCTCGTCTTCTGCTTTCTTCTTAACCCTTCCACCGGTTCTTTTACTTTTTCCCCTCCTTTTTATAACTCAATATCAGTTTCTTGAAAGTGTGTAAAGAAAGTGAATTGATATGTAGAAAGTTGTACTCTTTATTGATGTTCCGTATTAAGGAGAAAGGAGAATAGGCAAGAAAAGAAACACAAGACATGTCTAGACGATATCAGTCCCTGGCACATGCCTATAATCTAAGCATTACGAAGGCAGTTGCAGGGTATTATCAGTTCAAGGACAGCCTGGGCTACATAGCAAGATTCTATCACAAAACAGAAAAGCAAGGGCTGATTGTATACCTCATCAGTAGAGAGCTTGGCTCACACACATCAGGTTTCCTGTCCAATTCTAAGGAAGAAGATTGTGCCTAAAGTAAAAAAGGAACAGAACAACTAAAATAAAATCTACCTTTGGTTTGTCCAATAGCAACTCTCAGCAGCCATGCGTTATAGTTCAGCATGTCCATGACTAATAGGAGAATGGTCAAGAAACCAAACATAGAATGAAGAGGAAGGTGGTTATTGGAGACAGTGACACCTATCTGTGGTCTCTTGACATCACCCCTGCTTACATGTCCCAGAGGTCACCTATCCTCATCCTGTCTCTCCCTACAGTTATTTTGATAACCTTTTTTTTT